TGTGTGAGTGAATACTGTGACAAATTACACTTGCTATGGTCTGTTATGTGTTTTCCCTTGTTCTCTGGTTTGAAAGTTCCTCCAAATTGAAACCGTAATAAATATGTTTCGGAAGGAAGTAAAGAATCCCTATTGATTGGCAAATAAGTCCTTTCTGTCTATTTTTATGTCACTATGATAGAATTCTTATCTGATGAATTAATCCCTAAGCTAGAGATTTTTTATCCTGTTTGTAATAAATCAACAGCTATTTATGTTAACTCTTGTTGAAACTTGCTTAGTATTGTGCTTGCTATTGCACTGTGAATATAAAAGAAATTATCATTCATTATCGGTATATTTTATTGTATTATTTTAAAAAAGGTAAGCGTGCTGCAGAAGCTCATTGCAAAATTTGCAGGGTTTATAAGGATGATGCCTTAACCGAACGCACTTGTTAAAATCGGTTTGCCAAATTTCATTCAGAAAATTTTGACATCAATGATGCTCAACGGTCTGGCCACCCACATGAAATTGAAACGACCAATGCTAAGGCCATTGTTGATCAAAATCCCACCAAATTAGTGGGAGAGATTGTTATGGCACTAAATGTGTCGCACACAAGCTTGGCTATGTTTCCAGGCTTAATGTTTGGGTTCCTCACATGATTTTTTTTTCTCGAAAATCCCAGAAAATGTTATAAATTCAATACGACTTCAGCTATCTACAAGAAATTTAGCAGGAATTTAGGCTACATAAACTACACAAAATGACATCAACAGGACCTTCGTAAACAAACTACAAATGGAGATAAAAAATAAAAACCTATAAGGAGTTTTTGTTTATTTATTCTTATGTAGGCATTAAATAAAAAAACATTCATACGGCTTTGAAGAGCAATAATTCAGCTTTCCAACGGATATAGTAACATCTAATTTAGAGAACATCCTGAAGAGTTATGAATGATCGGAAGGGTGTTGTGTTCCACCAAGACAACGCTAGGCCCACACCTCATTGGTCACTCGCAATAAATTATTGAGCCTTGGATGGGACCTTTTGCCCCACCCTCCCTATTCACCAGACCTAGCTCCAAGTGACTACCACTTATTCCGGTCTCTGCAGAACTCCATGAATGGAAAGAAATTCTAAAAGAAAGAGGACATCAAAAACCACTTGGATCAGTTTTTTAACAATAAACTCCAGACATTCTATGGACATGGCATTATGCAGTTAATGGCAAGAAGGGAAAAAGTCATTTTAAATAATGATCAATATATTTTAGATTAAACTAAATTTTATGTCTGTAATACATTGAGTTTTATTTCACCCTGAAAAACCGAAAGAACTTATTTGCCAACCTAATATATTACAATAACTTTCACTGATGCAATCAGTACTATAGAGTTTATACAATGGATTATGATATACCCCATAAAAAATAAATAGTGAAAGTGATAACAAAGTAGTGATATTTAAACAATAAAGAAACATTATTCAGAGGACAAAGAAACGTCAACACTGCAGAATGGTCCCTTGCCTTGTAGTTAATTGCAAATAATGTCAATTTAAATATATATATTGCCCATCTATAATGTCTGCAATATTAAATCAGTTTGCAATTAAGAAGATAAAAACACCTATTAAATTGTAACATTTATTGATTTTGCAAAAATTTTGTTAGTTCGAAGACTTTTTCACACCACTGTATATATATATATATATATATATATATATATATATATATATAATGGTACAATCGTGTAACATTATATTTGTACATATCAATGCCCATTTATAATGAAACACATTCCAAGTAAATATATAGTTTAAAGTAAAAATTTTAAATAATGCATCTAGCAAGATAAATTGCTTCAAATATCCAGCCCTGGTTCATAGTAGTCAAAAGATATTACCAACAGGATCCCAGCCGCAGTAAAACAAAATTTATACTTTCCAGCAAAGACGAGACAATATTTTTACGAGTCTCCTTCCAAACTGCTCGTCGGGCTCAAGGTTATAAATGCATTGCAGCTGACACCCACTTATTTGCATCCATTTGAATTTTCTAAAACGTCTCATATTTTTACTTTGAAACAACTTGAATGTTCACCCATATCAACTATATATTTCTTGTTTCAGATTTGTACACCGAATCAATCCCGTATACACAGGGTGTAGAGTAAATAGAGTCCCGTAAGTAGAGAGAAATCATTTAAAGATACAAAAAAGTACATTTAAACAATGGTCCGATTTTCCGCAGAAAAGTAGAAAAATTAACTTTTTTTTTTAGGAAGTCACGTCTTTTATTGAATAGGAAGTGATAACTAAAAAATATTTAATTTAAGTAATTAACAGATGCATCATAGTAAACTAGACAAAATTTACTTCAAATAAAAGTAGAGTTTTTTATTTTTAAAACAATATGTAGAGGGGTTTTGGGTGGATAAACTAAGTTGAGTTTTGTTTTTAAAAAAATATGAATTATTTGCGATAATTATATGAGTTCACATAATTTTAATCTATGTGTACGATATATCTGAATTTACACTTATTGAGAGAAGTGAATCTACTTTGTTACTTAGTAAAGCTATTAATTTAATATATAAAAAATGTATTAGTATCAAAGGGCTTTGAAACGTTGGGCAAATTTGGAAACCGTAAGAGTTTTGAAACCTCTAAAATTTTTCAATGACTTTTGTTGTGTAGTTTTAACTTTTGAAATTGGCATTCATCATTTCTTCATGAAATTCTCTTTATTTTGATACCTCATTCATTAAAAAGAATCGATGCTATATATATATACACTGACAGGTAAAAAATTCCACCCACTTGATTTTTCCATGTTTTCATCTAAAAATATTTCTGTAAAGTTGTATTTGTATATAATACAAGTTTCATATGGAACTCCGATGGCATTAGCTGCATATCTAATGGAAAGTCCATTATCAATAAGTGCCACACCATGCGCAACATCCTCAGCATTAAGAGGCATTTTTAAATTTAATATTGAAAAAATTAAAAGCCGGAGACTAAGAAATGTGCTGCAAGAAACGGCACTGAACTAATGATACTGAATAAACATTTTGATTCCATAGAAAGTAAACATTGGAATCTAGAATCATTTCATTGAATTAAGGATTAAGGGTTATTGTCCTCTATATTAACATTCCTAATTGAAAACAAACAAAAAGATTACCTATTTACTCATCTTTTAGATGTAAACATGAAAAAATTAAGTGGGTGGAATTTCTGCCTGTCAGTATATATATATACATATATATATATATATATATATATATTATATATATATATATATATATATATATATATATATATATATATATATAAATATATATATATACTATATTAGGCAAAAAAAAAAATTCCACCCACTTGATTTCTTCATGTTTACATCTAAAAATATTTCTTCTTTGGATTGGTCTATTGTTTTTAATGAGTAATTCGGTAATCTTTTTGTTTGTTTTCAATTAGGAATGTTAATATAGAGGACAATAACCCTTAATCCTTAATTCAATGAAATGATTCTAGATTCCAATGTTTACTTTCTATGGAATCAAAATGTTTATTCAGTATCATTAGTTCAGTGCCGTTTCTTGCAGCACATATATTTATATATATATGTATATATATATATATATATATATATATATATATATATATATATATATATATATATATATATATGTATATATATATATATATATATATATATATATATATATATATATATATATATATATATATATATATATATATATATATTATATTGACAATACTACCGAATGTTCAGCAGAATTGTGCAGAATGAGTTTGTGAAACTTCATCTATCCTCTTAAATCCTATATAATACTTTCAAATTAAAAAAAAAATTAAATAAAATAAATAAATAAAAAACATTTAATAATTGATTCATTGACTATCTAAAAATAATTTGCAGACGAGTTTATGACAAAAATATCAAAAATGTTATTCTGAAGATTCATCGCTAAGTCTGGTAACCACGTCCTTTGTTTTATCAATATTCTCGAATCTAATTGGCCCGATTAGAGTTTCGTGCCTGATCTGAATGTTTCGGCATAATCGCAACGGAGGAGAACTTTTTTTGTAAAAAAAAGAATTAAAAATAAACCATATATATTTATTAAAAAAGGTTAACTAGAAAGGTTCCTCACTTCTGTATTTGAAGACAGAATAATAATCTAGACCACCAAAGAAAAGAAGTTCTCTAGGAAATAGGGTTGTAAGCGAAGGTACGGTTTACTATGTCATAAATGGGCCTTGAACCTAAATCACTTAAATAGAATTGGTTGGAGCTTCCTCGCTCCCTGTTTGTTAAGAAACCTTTGGTAGCCAGCAGTGATGGCAACGAAGCTACCTACTTAAAGCATATCACCCCTTTGCAAACTTTTTCTCTTACCTGATCTCTAAAATCATCTCCCACGATTCCATGATCCGTTTATTTATTAGAATTTATTTTCAGACTTTGTATTTACCGATATATGTGAAGATTAAAGATTACTGAAATTTTTAACAAGTCAAAAAAGAAATATAACGAAGAATATTGTTGAACATGTCATTATCCTCAAATATTTTTTTAGATACCAGAATATTAGAAAGAATATAATTCTCTTGATCGTGTTTTCATAATCATTTCATTTTATTTTTGTAAACAAAACTTCCTTAGAATCGACTAAGGCGGAGTTAGAAACACTAGAACGATATAGGCTTCAACACACAGGACACGGTGTGTATACGATACGATACCCATTGTGAGTGTATCGCTGCGGATTATCGCGCTCTGTGGGAAAGCTACAATGCAATACAACAATATCGCCATATCCCCGTCGACTGGAGTATCGTATCGCATTCTGTGTTTAGGAACTTTTAGAAAAGTATATATTATGTCACCAGCGATATACAATAATTGTCTTATATAAGATGAGCTTCCCTAGTATCTTTTAAACGGTAAGGAACGATAAAATTAGTTCATACAAGAACGATTACTTCTGTCGCAAGATACTTATTTCAAACAACATGACCTGCTTATCTCTTTTATCAGTGTCGTACGACCTGACGAAGGATAAAAAAGTAAACCGAAATTCGTTCCTGAAGTGAAATCACATCGTGGATATAGAATTACTCATTAAAATGTAATTGCTGAGACAGCTCTGAGGCATAACTAAGGCAGAAGTTACCTAATAATTTAATTATATGGATGCACTCTTCGCTTTTTACTTTTTCTCTTAAGTTTAAGTAGCTCACAACTCAATCCTGGCTTGAAGACCAACACGAAACGTCCCGCTTCGATATGATCCTTGCTTATTGTAAGATAAAAATTATATATCGTTTACGACATATATACCCAAACACTCTTGTTTTAATCTCGCTTAAGGGATATTGAACGCTTTAGATGGAACGGAGTCGTCAAAAAAACTACTACATATACGCGTTCCTGGGCTGTTGTATAATTATATTTTCCAAAGATGAAAATAGTTTACCAAACAATATAGCAGACACAAGTCCGCCATGTTATATTTTTGGTACAGAAGCGGAAGAATTTTTTTTTTTTTTTTTATAAAACGTTTTGTAAGCCTTTGAGGCAAATGACAACGTCCACCAAAAGTTGCAACCCGTCAACATTTCGATATTTTTGACGTTTCCAAATATTTTAAAGTGGATCTAAACGTTTACCAACTGTCCCAAAGACGTGGAATACCACACAGTAATTCCACAGATTGGACACACTTGTGTCCAGAAAAATAGCATGGCGCACTTTCGCCTGCTACTTCATTTGCTTAAACTATTTTCATTTTTTAGAAGGAACGAGTAAAACAATAAAAATATTTAAAAAAACACTTACCAATAATTAAAAATAGATACACAAACTAGAGATATTAAATGGTCCCATGATAACCAACACATAATCAAGAGAACTGCATAAACATAATATGTACACATACCTAGGCAACTTCTCAAACTCAGCGCTAAGTACATCGATGGCGTCATTTTGTACAGTCTAAAGACGGAACTTATGCAATCGATGGAGCTCATGGATGTCATGGAGTGCTATACTGTCTCTAGATTGTTTAGTTTACTTATCTGTATTTTAGGGACTCGAGGCTTTTTTTTCCGAATTTTCACTAATTTAGTTTTTGCTCATTAACATTTTCTATCTATATTAATGCTAATTTCCGATCAGATTTCAGGAATAGATAACATAGATATTATTTGGCGTGTCAAAAAACAATCATCAACTGCTTCCTACAATTTTCCAACAGTATCAATCGTAATAATATTGATTGGAGCAGCCATGAGTTTCTGATGATCATTACAGGAGATATAAATGTAGTTGTTGTTGTCTTATAAATAGATTTTTAGACAGAAAAATTAATTCCAACAATGAATAATTTTCCATGTCAAACAAAAATAGAATATGATATGACAATTGATAGAAATGTCTAGTGAGATTTAAAACATCTTCAATGCTTAAGTTCATTATGATTGTGTTTCACATTTTCGTCAGTATAAACCTCTAATTTCATATTTAAATTATATTAATAATTGAATTAATTTATTTTTAATGTTTAAGGTAATTATTACCCACTGTATATTATATTTTCAATATATACTATTAAATTCTAACATGGTTTGCTTAGTTTAACCGTAAAGTTATTTGTGAACTTGTGTGTTTAATCGTAAACATATAATAAAATATTCTGTAGCTTTAAAAACGTTTTACTCCAAAAGTACAGTGGTTAAAGGACTTCTTTTTTTCCCTTTTTCACTACCAAAGCGATGATCAGTTTTTTAAAAATTAATATGCATGTTATACAATAAGCAGTGCATAAAAATATATTTTATATTTCTATTTTCATGTTCATATTTATATTTTTTTATTATATTTATATAAGTTCTATTAATAATGGTTTATTTATTTATTTATTTTTTAATTGATAAGATAATTATAAGAATATAACTTATCATTGATATAATTACTCTCTCAAAAATCTTGTATAAGAGTGGTTAAAAATAAAGTGGGAAAGAAGAATGTCTCAAGAATACAGAAGTCATTGGGGATGGTATTCCCTAACCTAGCACATGGATATTGGACTTGAGCAAGCCCCCACCCTACGTGGTTAATGTCCCGCCCCAACAGTCTATCATTCATGTTTCACCGCTTTCTTTTTCTATTAATCAAATGCCCATTTAAGTTTTTTTTTTTTTTTTATTATCAATAAATACCGACATAAACGATGAATATACACTCCACATTGCACGAATTCCATCTATTAATCAATTTATAAAAAAAAAAAAAAAAAAAAAAAAAAATGCCTTATTCCACATTTCCTATATGTTTCATATCCGAATAAGAACAGCTCAAATACATCATATAATAACAATAAAAGTATTCCTAATTGACTATCTTTTTCAATGGACTTAAAAATTATATTTTCCATCGAAAAAATAAATATATATATCACCCCTTAAATGAAATATTCTATAGATTTTTCGGGGTATGTACAAGATGTCACAAATATATTACTGTATGACCCCATTTACAATATTACACTCCCATTCATCTTAACAAACTTTTTAGTTCATACTGAGGAGCGTACACTTGCTTAAATTGGGTTTGAATGACATATATAACTTTTATATTTATTTTAAGTTGTTGCGTGCGAAAGCTCCTAATTATTCATGCAGATAGGCTATATTAACTAATTAAATTATTAAATATGGTATTATATGACGATCCACCGATAAAAAGAAGGCATAAACATAAGCATAAAGCATGTTGATGAAATAGCTATGTACAACTACTACATTATGAGACCGAGGCAATTTTTTTTTATCTCTTAAAAAGTTGAGACCATTAAAGTTTTCTTTTACTGTTCCACTATGTGATCTGACTTCAGTGTCCCTAACGGATTAATGAAGTGGTTTTCTCGATAATCTTTTATGACATTGAATATTTGGAATTATTTCCAGAATTAGGATTAGTACTATTGGACACTATTATATAAACAATCAATGAATCTAAATATCACTATCATCCACTTAATTATTTAGTGAAGCACATCTAAAATAAACCAGTAATTATTCCTAACAATGGTTAACTTAATAATATTTATGTATTTTACAGTAATTTAAATTAAACGTGTAATTTATTCATAACAAATCTCTCAAGTAAACTTTTTTATTTCCTAATTAAATTTAAATTGGTTATGTTTTTTTTTTAATTTACACTACATATTATTTTTAAATTGAATTGAAGTATATTTAAATTTTTTTTTAAATACCCTTAATTTTCTCAAAAATCTTATATATAATGAATTAATTGATGAAGATAATGAGAACACAACAATTGAAAAAATGGAGACAAATAATGTCCCACAAATTTATACAGAGATAGGTTATTACATTTATAGTTAAAAGTTGTATGAGTATATAAAACATCTAATCACAATATATACTGCCAATGAAATCCAATTATGTTTATGGATAATTGTATATGGTTTTTAATAAATTAAGAGTTGGATTTTGAATAAGATGCCGTTAAATGAGAAATAAGAAAATATGATATTGATATAAAATTGATACCTTGATTCGTTGTTTTCGAAGAGAAGTCGGCCAGAGGTAGCTACGTAGTCTTTCCCATCGTGGGCTGTCCCCTCCTGAGTGGTAAAAGGGAGGCTAACTCTTCCGCGTGCACCGGTACGTCTTTCGACTACAGCATGGTACACTCCACAAGCTTCACTAACTTCAACGCGACGTTCAAGGAAACCAAATATACCGCTATGATCGTCATCGAGAATGGTCACCTTAAGGATGCTTGGCTCACCCAGCTTGAAGCCACTCAAACCGTTTGCTTTAGCCCCTTGAAGGCGTACATTCGACAGTCTAACGAGAAAGTGCTCATCTTCCTCGAAAACGTCATCATCGATAATCTTAACTTTAAAATACTGTTCTTGTTGACCTGGTTTGAAAATCAGTGTGCCAGACACAGCCAAATAATCGGAACCTGCGTTCGCCGTACCGTCTTCAGATTGATAATCAACTAAAAGGGGCACATTCAGCCCAGGCCCTTCAATGACGACCTTCACTACCACATTACCAACATTTTCTAGCACAACATATTCCGACTGTTCAAATCGTACGTAAGTCGTATCATCGAAAATGTCCATTGTACTCTCTCGGTCATCGGGTAGAGACGATTCTCGAACATTTCGCTGACAGATACTGCCACCAGTAAGACTCCGCGTAGCTTGGATTCTGTAAAAAGCACGACTCTTAGGCCCAGACAGCTCGATCCTCTCCTGTGCCATAACTTTCAATTCTGCCAAAGTCTTTTCGGGGTGTTCCCGTCTAAGGTCTTTCAAAACATTAGCTGAATGTTGCCTGGCGTGTTCTAGGATTTCTTCGAAGCTGCCAGGTTTCGTTCTAGACAACTCTATATCCACATTTTCTGCAGCTCCTACTGCTCGATGGCTTTTGATACTGAACAGCATCAAAGGGAGCTTGTATATCGGTATCTTCCTGTCTGCCATATAAGCAGTCAGAACAGTAAGGGGGAAAAACATGAAAGTGAGTATGCCTTCCCACACTTCGACAACGCCTCTAGAAAAAACTTCTAATATCAAGTAGAGCCATATATATGCGAAAACCGACCAGGCAGACGTTACGAAAAAAACTCCCAACTGTTTTATTTTCCGAGTCTCTCCTTCGGGGATAACGGCTACGCAAATGGCAATGATAACAAAAAGGTTATAAGCTGCCGAACCGACGATAGTCCCAGGCCCCAGATCCCCAGCTTCGAAATTTTTTCCCCAGATTTCAATTATAGACAATAGGATTTCGGGTGCGGAGGAACCCAATGCCATGAGGGTGAGATTAGCCACGGTCTCATTCCAAACTCTAACAGAGACAGTCTTCTTCTCACCTCGGGTCCGGATGGTCACCTTACGCTCCTGAGAGGTAATTACTTCGATAGCCGACATGAATCTATCAGACACGATGGAGACTCCGATGAAGAGGTAAAGCATGAGAAAGAAATATACGAGACCGCGAGTGACCCTCTCGATGGGAGCAATACCGGTGATGGGGCGCCAGGCTGGGATGAGGAGGCCGTCCTGGCAGCGCTGGCTCCTGTTGCCACTAGCGGCGGCGCCCCCCGCGAGGAGGAGCAGGCCGCCCAGTACCGCCGTCCGCCTCACCATCTCAAGCAGTGAGCGGGCATCCTCTCCGGCTCCCCGCGCGCGGCACACTGCCCCGCGCCTCTCCCCTCCCCCTACCCACCCCCTCCGTCATCGATACCTCTCGTCCATTTTAAAACTTTCCCTTGTCATTTCATTAATTAAATCATAAGTTAATTTACATTAATTTAACATCTTAATGAACGATTGACTGTAAAGAAAAAAAACCCAAGTTTTGCTTTTATTTCAATCATGTATGCACGTAAATGCATAATGTAGCCGTACATTTCATAATCTTATTTTACCAAAGGTTATATTAATTGTAAATATAATTTACTGTAAGGAGGATTATTAAAATCCTTTTCGTTCATATTACGTATAATTGTCCGGAGCAGGTAAGTGCTTATTCCTGTTTATAATTTTCGATAGCCGAACAGTTCTTTATAGTGCTTTTTTAAAATTCTATTTTGCTCTGCCTGTTGGAAAGTGCTCAAATAGCTGTTTTCCAACGGCTTCCACATAATCATTGTTTTTAATGCCTTTATTGTTTCCAATTAGCAGTATCTTGTAAAACTGGTAGATTCCTTATCAGTTTTCCAATAAGTATAGTTTTGTAAATTTAATTGACATTAAAGAGTATACATTAAAGAGTAATTTTAATCCTTTAATGTCCAGATTACATTTTAATTCATATAAACATTTTGGGTCATATTCGCCCTTTTTGAAATCCATAAAAACATATCTGCAAGTCATTGTAGTTTATAAATTTAAAATCAATTCAATGTCATACATTTTCGTCATTATATTGTAAGTTAGGGGTAGTTTATTTTAATCAGAATACATGGGAACAATTATATAAGAAACAGAAATATAAAAATAAAGATTGAAATACCTTTATAGAATGATTTTTAAAACCAAAAATAAAACGATGAAAATGTAACGAACAAGCGTTGGTTTGTTATAATTAGAAGAAAGAGGAACAATTGTATAAGAAACATAAATATAAAAAAAAAATTAAACAAGCTTAGAGAATAATTTTTAGAATCAAAAATAAAATTTTGAAAATATAACAGACAAGCATTGTGTTGTTATAATTAGAAGAAATATGAACAATTATAAAAGAAACAGAAATATAAATAAAAGCTTATGAAATAATTTTTGAACCAAAAATAAAATGACCACAAATTTATAAACGACCATAGTTACAGATATGATTTTTTCAGCTTAAAATTGGCGAATATGATCTTAAACGTTGTCAAATGTTTATATGAATTAAAATTTAATAAAGTAGTAGATTATAATTGGAAAAATTCCAAGTCGCCAAAATGCAGGCAAAGAAAAAAACCCATCAACGTTTCACAAATTCAGACATCATCAGGACAAAAAAGAACAGCAAATCGAAAATAACTCCATGGCATCCAATCGCGTTTTGGAAAGAAGGTAAGTCAACATAGCAAGAGAAGATAATAATCAAGAAACTAATTGGTGAAACGACTGATAAAAATTGTACAATATCAAACCAAAAATCATAAATATGTTACATAATAAAATATAATAAATAAATATTTAAAAAAATACAAAATGAAAAGATATAATAATACAATTTTTATAAATTATTCTAGTTTTTAACTTTTAATTTTATTGTTATAATAAGTAATGAAGCCACTTTGAAATATTATGGCCATTAGTATAATATAGTGCCATTTAAATGCCATTGTGTAAACATATTTTTTTAAAAATATTATTTAAAAATTATATTTTAGATAATGGACTTGAAATAGACCGGTTGGTTAAAAAACATCATTAATTTAAATATAAAGGAAGGTCTTAAGTTTGAAAAGTTATCTTTCTCTCTGAAATTTCAAATTCAAAATCTATCTAATAATTAATATGCTAAAATATTCATAATGAATATTTAGTAAAGAATTAATAATTATAATATTAATTTATAGATAAGTTTGAATGTGTTTTTATTTATTTATTTTCTTTATTTTATTTTTTTTATTTTTTTTTATTATTTTTTTTTTTTTTTTTTAATTTCTTTATTGAGTATTATAACAATCTGTCTGTTGGACATTGGTTATAGTGAGGTAGGATGACATTCACACCATATGTACAAAAAAATAAAATAAATATAACAAAATAATAATCAAAAGTATATACAATAGACAATAAAACTAAATAACCTAAAAAATAAGAAAATTAAAACTAAGAAAAAAAAAAAAAAACACATGCATACCTATATACAATCAGGCGAGGGAACTCCAGGAGAACCCTGCGCTACTCTCCCAACCGCGTCACTGGTACTAAAGCCAGCGGAGATTGGACGAGAGTACTTTAGCCACATACACACATGTCTTGAGTGAAGAATCTGGCCATTGCCAGAACTCCAATTTATACAATCTACAAAAGGTCGCGAGGCCACTGCCGTTTCAACTTTCTTGGAGGATTACAGGGATGGGAGATGCTTGATAGGGATTGTGCAAGAGGATTTGGGTGGTAAGTAAGGTTCTGGTGAAATTTGGAGAATTTTTTTGGGATAAGGTCTAGGAAAAATGGGATGTTAAGGTCATGATGTAGGGTTTTGTTGGATACAATGAAAGGAGCATCGACTATTATCAACTTCTCTCTCAGTTTTTGCCAATTTTATAGCGGAATCTCTCTGATTATTCACGTAATAAAGTTAATAATAAAGTGTATATCAGAGCAGTTGATATTTACTGTTGAAATCTTTTTTTTTTTTTATTTAAAGAAAAAAAAAAATTTTATTTATTTTTTTTTTCTCTTATGATATGCGGTATGATCAGCAAGTGATGGCCAGTAAGGTGCCCAAGAGGTCTCGGTCAGACGGAGTTAGCTCACCAGCCAAACAAAGGACTCGTCGCTGCCTACGAGAAATACCTCCAGTGACCAAAATGAACACTTCAGAACCAGAACCTCAGCCCCAACCAGGTACGTCTGCACAAGAAACGATTGAAGAATCACCTTTCTTCACTCCAAACCCCTACCAAGTGCTTTAAAATGACCGAAAAGTAATGGAGTCTGCAGCAATACCCAGAGAACCAAAGCCTCCTCCGATATTTGTGAAAAATATAAAAAATTTCCAGATGTTCTGCACCCAACTAAATAAAATCTGCTCTGGCAGTTATTCATGCCTTAACAGGACCAATGACACCAAAATAACACCTGATTCTGCAGAAGCCTACCGAAAAATAGTGAAGTACTTATCAGAAACAAATGCGAATTTTCCCACTTACCAGCTGAGGCAGGAAAGAGCTTTACGAGTAGTGATAAGAAATTTACACTCCTCAACCCCCACTGAAGTTATTAAAGAAGAACTAACGACGCTTGGTTTCAATGTACGCCAGGTAACAAACGTTTTGAAGGAGGACAGGGAGCAGCCAGGATTACGAAATAGGATCCCACTACCATTGTTTTTCGTGGACTTGGAGCCATCACCTGGTATCGAAAAAATATATGATATCACAAGAATATACTACACAATGGTGAAAGTTGAGAAGCCATACCCCAAGAGAGACATCGTGCAGTGCCATAATTGTCAGACCTATGGCCACACGAAGACATATTGCCACCATCTGCCGCGTTGCGTGAAGTGCGGTGAACAGCACAAATCTGTAGAGTGCACCAAACCTATACAAGATCCAGCAGTATGTGCCCTATGCTTGGAGGGACACCCGGCCAACTACAAAGGCTGCCAAATTTACAAGAATCTCAAAACCAGACACCAGAAAAACCGGATTCAAGATGAAGCACTAAGAACAAGAAGAGAGAGAGAGCCTTCCAGAATTGTAAACAATGATGTATCATTCTCCCAACTACTTAGAGGTAAGACTTTAACCGATAAATGTCAAGCCCTGCCACAACAACAACCTCAACCCACCTCAAAATCCTCTTCATCCTAATATACCTAACCACCAACAACAAATTCCTCATATTCCTCCTCCTTCAAATGCAACAGATCTCACAAGTTTGTTAGCATCTTTCCTCACCGATTTCAAATCCCTCGTTACTCCACTCATATCACTCCTCACGAATCTCGTATCTCACCTCATCCCTCCTTTAAAAAATCCTTAAATGACTCACATCCCTAAACCCATATCCATTCTCCTTTGGAATGCGAATGGTGTAAGAAATCATACAGACGAACTATCTACTTTACTACTTGACAAGAACATTGATGTGGCACTAATTACTGAAACTCGACTAACCACTAAACAGCACTTCAATATACCACAATACCTGACATATCGTACTGACCACCCTGACGGAAAAGCACATGCCGGTACTGCTGTAATTGTACACCAATCCCTCTCCCATCACGTACTCCCATTACCTATACATGATTTCCTACAGTCCACCGCTATCGTGATAAAAACCTTCTCCTTTCCGGTTACTCTTGCATCAGCGTATTGCCCTCCTAACCGATCCATATCCAATGCCCAATTCAGTTCTCTCCTCGACTCCTTAGGACATCACTTCATCTTGGGTGCAGACCTAAATGCCAAGCACCAACAATGGGGTTCCAGAACAACGAATTCTCGTGGCCGAACCCTGCTGTCTGCACTCAATTCCCAACGTTTTCACCTCCTTTCCCCCAACTCTCCTACCTACTGGCCCACAGATCCCAACCGTAATCCTGATCTTCTTGATTTCTTTATCCACAGCGACTTAAGTCCCCTCAATTGTTCCATTACACGTCTAAATGGACTTTCCTCTGACCATAGTCCTCTAATCCTTAATGTTTCACTTGAACCCGTTCCCAAACCTTCTCCACCGTCATTCATTAGGGGCCCAGTAAACTGGGACCTTTTCCGCCAAATAATCTCCGATAATATTGATCTCAACATATCCCTCAAAACTCCCGACGACCTTGATAGTGCCGTAAATTCCTTTACTACCACAATCCAACAAGCCGCCTGGACTGCCTCCTTCCCAAAAGACTCCTCCAGAATTCCTATAAAGATCATTCTACCCCAACACCTCTTTATTATTTTTATTTAATG